AAACTTGCAATCTGTTCTTGTAGAAAATTGAATCATGAATTTAAAAACAAAAGGAATAAGGTATGACGATATTGAGAAAAGACTTAGAGAAATATTTATTTTAGCACATCCGTTCTCTTACCAAGTGATATATTCATCGATCTAGAATCTAAATAAATTTAAAAAGACATCATTTTATAGAAAACAGAATTATCAATTCTAAACGAAACGTATGAGTAATACACCTATCATTTTTACTATAAGAATGACGATATTATTTGTCTAGTATAAAATGAAAAGCAAAAATGTCATTCAATATCTCTTTCTTACCATCAACCATAAATACAATTTTGTACCGTTCTAATCCTCATAATCACGACCAACTAGATATCAAAATTTTTTCATACGCTCACCGTGTATTCCTTGTAACAGGTTAAAACTAACTTGACTTGAATAGAAAGGTGGTGACGTTGATACAGGATATTGTTGTGGATACATTATCAATTTATTATTAGTTTATAAGTAATGAAAAGATTTTATGTGACATCTTTTATTCTTTACCTTAACGTTAGCTTTGTTTCTGAAACCAAGGATGAGTTGTTGTTTGAACGAGAAAAGAAACAAAAAGATCTAAAAATAATTTGGCTTCTTAATAGATGAATTATATTGATAAGTTTATTATTCAATACAAAAAAAAACGTAAAAAAATGTAATAAATCATGCTTCACATCACATGTAGATAAGCTCTTTTATTTTAACGCAAATTTTATGCCGATGCTAGAAAGCAAATGGAAGACAAACAAAAAAAAATCAACTCTCAATTACAAATAATAGTAATTTATATTCAGTTTTGTCTTTTTCTGTTAAGCATGCAACAAAATGACAGCATATTAAAATATATATGCAGATGAACTTCCATCTGTTAGAATGTTGTATATAAAAAAAAATATATAAATATATTTTATAAGGCTCATACAAAAAAAAAAGAGAAAAGAACGAAAGCAAAAGTCATGCATGATATATTACTAAAAATAAAATTAACTGCACTATAATTATGATTAAAGACTTTAATTTGTTGACGAGAAAAAATTTGATAGCCAAGATAAAGGCCACCAAAGTGAAGATGAATCTATCGAAATGAAATTAAGATTTATTGACAATAGAGAAATATCTCAGCTGTTATTTTTTCTATCAAAATAAATAGTTAATAGAAAGATTTTATTTTCATTTGCAGAGTTGCCCAAATATATATTTTATTATAAAATAATACAACGTGATTTCTTTCGATTATGATCAGCATTTGCTGTTGTTCGCCCATAACCATCTGTCATTACTTTCTTTTCATCTAAATCGTCAAATCAACTATCAACACCATCCATTAGAATTTTGACAACATACTTCATAAACATAGAAAAACATTCAATCAATAAAAAGAAGAACAACCTTGTCGTCCTTGAATTTCTCGTTTTGTCATTTCTATAATCATCAACAACGTTAAGATTAGCAATTTTCTTTTTTAATCTTAATCATTTAAATATCCAATACAATCACCATCATCTATTATTAAATATTAAAAAAAAATTAAATAAATGTTATTGATAATTTTCAAATTTTTCTTCTTATCTGTACATGCAATAATTGTTACAGATATACAATTAATAGGTTTACATTCAAGTTTAAGAGCATATTTAAATGAACAAATATCTTGATGATCTTGACATCGTTCATTCCAGATTCTTGACTTTCTTGATTATTAGACAAGATTCTTTTGTCATTTCTTCTATACAAGATTCTTGCATTCTCGAATTCAGACTGATTCTTTGTTTTTGTACATGTGACATATTTATTAGCAAAAAAAAGGAGATGAATTATAAAACGAATTTACATAAAACTAGCGCAATGCAAATCATAATAAAAATATTTTACATAAAATTAAGGAAAAAAGCTTAAAGTATTTTATTTATATTAAAAGTAGAATATTCCTATTATAATACTTTATCGTCTTCATGGTTATCATCTGAAGCTGATGATGATCGACATGTCGCCAAGCCGTTGTCTTCTGAAAACTCTAAAATTATCCATAATTTGACTCATTAATACGTTCCAACGAATGCATCTTTACTTTTAAATATGTTGACTTACCTGATGTTGATATGAAGCTAATAGGTTATTTGAAAACAAGATATATTTTCCATATAAGTGACTACAATAACTATTATCTATTGTTGTTTAGAAATGAATAAATAGTGTAGCAACGTTGATATATATATAGATACATGTACACAAACACATCACGCGATGTGTCTTGAAGACCAGGCAAGAATCTTTTTTTTCTGTCGTGTCACAGGAATCTAGTCTGGACTTCAAGAAATTCTAATCATCTTGTAATTCTTCGCAGATTCTTGTTTTTCTTGATCGATCAGTCAAGATTCTTTTTATCCTGAACTCCCATCAAGACTCTTTTTTCTTTCCTATTAAAAGAATCTTGACTGATCGATCAAGAAAAGCAAGAATCTGGCCAGAATAGATTCAAGAAACTCGATTAGTGCTGTGGCTGAAAGTATCAATAATTTATGTTCTTAGGTGTGAATGTAGAGTGTACGTGTCAATGTGAGTATAGGTATTAGTAGGTATGAGCGTCAAGGAAGAGAAGAAGTAGATCCAAACTCACACTCTCACATCCTCAAAAATAGGATTTCTGTGTGAACATTTGTGTTTAGTTTGGGCACTGATATGATTGTGGTTTGACGATGATGTGGATGTGGCGTTTGGGTATGAGTATGAAGATCTCGATCACAGTCTGTATGTAGGTATGCACTTTGTAGTCAACAATATCTATACCTCAATCCTGTACGTATATGCACATCCCTACCCACATCTTGGTTTATGTAGATCTCTACATGTTGAATTTATATATTTTGTAACAAAGAAAAAAAATTCATGATCTGCGATGAAAATATTTTCATATCTAAATTTTACGTTAGTTAGAATCAATTGGCTGTTGCCCATTCAAATTGTTTACGTCACGTATTAAAAAAGAATCTCTATAAATTCACGCTTCACAATTTATTGTGGTCTCACTAATATCTACTTAGTCAAAATATTGCGTTACATCTTTTCATAAAACTCAATCAGTCTATCTATTAATCAGCATATCCCAATGAATCTTTAAACGAAAAGTAAAACACAAAGTAGAGTTGCAAAAAAGAACTAGAAATTAAAAGTCAAACGAATTGAAAT